TTAATCTACGCCCGTGTGAAGGTTCCAATGACAGTGGAAATGGTGAATTAAAGTCGGAAATGCTGTATGTGAGATGGGGTTGCTAGCATGACTTGTGATGTGGTAGAAGAAGTGATGAGAGAAGGATCAGATGGTTGTGTTCTTTATCCAAGACAGAGAGATAACTTCGGACACATCAGGCAACTATCATGACTTTAACCCACCTTGACTGTGACTAATTCACGGAATTGCCGGCCTCAGCTCAAGTCTCGGGGATCGCAATCTAGAATGATGCTTTCTGTAATGCTCGACTCCTCATTCCCGCATAATTGCCCTGTCCAGTACATCACGAGACGCAACCTTGCAGCTGCTTGTGATTCATCCAGCGGCATGCCATAGTTGACCATCCCTGCAGACAGGCCGCAAAGGATCAAGCCAATGGAGTCATAAACAGCCTGAAAGATGGATCCATTTGATTGGCTATATACATAAAGCATCCATTTGCCCAAACTGTAGTCTATGAGTATTGCAATACGGTCGCCTAGTCGTAGTGTTGCAGTGATTTATCTTACTCTATATTTTCTAGAACTAGGTGAACTCTCTCAAACCTTCGTAGATACAGCTTTAATGTCAAGATAAAGTATCTGGTGATTGGTATATCTTCAAGAACGTGATAGTATATTAGGGTAAGACTACCGACCACGGGTACTCAAGTGGCGTGGAAATATGCGAACCAGGGATTCAACGCGGGCCCCTGACTGTGAAATTCATTTGCGAAGCATGTGATCAATGGGTGATATGCTCAGCAAGACTATGAGTAATGACATACAATGGTTCGGAATGGTCAGAGTACAGATTTCCCTTACTTACTCTGTGTTAGTAGTCTAGTGTAGAGGTACAGGGATCTGGACAATCTCGGGTTGCCTAGGATAATGGTTTATACAAACAAATAGAACGCCCCCTCCCCGGGGAATCGCAGGCCATTGTGTGGAAACCAAGGTCCAGAATGGCTCTGGACTATATCTGTCTTGCCAAATATACCAATAATTCACCTGACCTTTTCGGTAGTTTTAGGTGAGTGATAGCAGCTTACATCTTAAGAGTTGATTGACGTTGACAGTCAGTTAGAACACTTGAGAATAGAAGCAGGGATAATCTAACGGGGGAAACTATATAGACATATCAGATCATTTATGACAGCGGCATCAAAGCCATGATTGTCCTATACAACTAGTGAAAATGGCTGTCAAGGTAAGGTAATTCACACCTTGGAACTGAGATCTCTCAGTCAGTTCTTGGCTCAAATCATTTCGCTGGCGAAGGACTGGCGCTCTTCCTTTAGATCGACCCTAAAGGTACACGCACACTTTTATATAAGCATAATTCCTTTTGCGCGCTAAGAGGTGACTTTGCTACTATCTATAGACAATAAGCGGCATTTAGGTTGTCACCGTATGATCTTATGGTTTTAGCGAATGTGCCTGCTCCACTCTCAACAAATGACAGGGAGGACGTCCCGCTCGCCAGTACCTTGCATTACTTTGTTTTCGCCTAAATCTAGTCCTGTATTTCATGGCTCCATGATGTTCTGATTGAATGAGAGATCCCTCGGCCCTAGACGCCATCTAATGTGTTCCTTGCGTAGCGACATTAGCTCGGGACTAATTCACAGCAGTATACGAAGCCCAATTTCGTGGCTATGGAGACTGGTTTCAAATAGTAGCTCAAAAGTCATTCGGGCACTCGAGAATATATTCGATCGTAGAACAGCGGTCCATGGTTAGTACGCGTGCTGACGAGAGGTTCAAGCCCCTTCTCGTCTGTGCCAAGTAGCCGATGAGATCTCAAGCCTAAGGTCACTCACATTGTGACGTGGGCATGCGTGGATCTCGATTTGTTGGTGTGAGGGGTGAACCGACACGCACAAACATAGCTACTTGTAACAGCCGTTCTTCGCGAAGTTGACGAGTTCTTATGTCCGAAACAGCGTGAGAATCTTGACGTATTGCACCCTTAATCTCTCAACAGGCTTGCGAAACAACACTAGATGACCATCGTAGTGACAACGCGTATACAAAAAAGCTTATGCTCGAGATAGGCCGCAGTGGAGGTCAAGTTGAGCGAATTCTTCCCCGTAAATTGACAGCGTTGTGGTGAAGATGAACCAGACTTTGTTGCCGGAATCGGCCGGACCATACCCGATTCGGGGTGAGTTTGCGAGGTTCCGTGCGGGAGCTCGGAGGTATCCTTCGCATCCACTCGGATCCACTTCAGGGTTTGTCCAACCCTTTTCCTTCTTGCGGGGAGCCTCGGCCGCATATTCCATTATCAGTAGGCTTCCTGGTGATCATCCGGCGGGGTTGCATCATACCCTCTTTTGTTCAGCAAAACCCAGGAAGTCTGCAGCACCCCAGACTGAAACGCGCGGCCAACGTGGGTCCTAATAAACAATAGTATTCCAACTACGTTGTAGGTGCCGAACAGGCCGAGGTTATCTACATTATCAATCTTCAGTTCCGGCAATCTGCAAGTTTCCAAGGTCAGGGTTCAATTGCCAGGGAGTTGGCCGCGCTGTGCTGCTGCTATCTTCAATACTCTTTCTAGATCACAAGATGCACATAAGCATACAAGTAAAAAAATGGGTACGGAGAATCTACCTCTCTACTATAGATAGACTACACGATAGTAGTCGCAGTATCAAACGTAGTTTGTAGCTCGAGCCCTCTCTGATCGGCAGGGGTGCGCAGAAACCTATACAACGAAGATTGGCTGCCCTCGGCCTCGGCCTGCAGAACTGGCAGTGTTCTCCGCCACCTCTCCCAGAATGTCTACCGTCCTCATGTATTTGAAACGGGTATTCTTCTCGCAAATCAAGGGTCTCGTCGATGCTAGTTTACCTGTACGGTCGTCATCGGTTGGCGTAGTCAATCGAAGTCTCCAAATGGGTGAACTTCATCCCGTAGAGGCTTATCACATTGTCACACTCAAACCACCTTCGGGTTTATCGGAACGGCAGGTCTTTCATCATTCCACTACTTGACATCCATTAAGCTCATTCCATTGTTCCGTCCGGGCGGGTCTCAACTTCCATCCTTGGCCATGCTTGTTGCAGAGGTACCTCGAATCGAACCTATATATATGCCGATCGCCACCCAGTTTGCTACTCTTTTTCCCTCATCATCATCTCCATCCTTCCTTTCCATTTTCTTTGAATTTTCCGGCATGCCCTCATTTACTACCAAGGGCCTCGCCGCTGTGGCCCTGGGCGCTGCTGTCGCTCAGGCCCAGCTCTGGGATCAGGTCATCCAGACAAACCTCGGTCCTGTTAAGGGCTTCAAGTACTTCACCAACGAGACTGTTCTCGAGAAGTACTTCGGTACCACCGAGTCCAATGTCACCGCTTTTCTGGGTATCCCCTTCGCTGCCGACACTGGCTACCAGAACCGCTGGAAGCCTCCCCAGCCCCGTGAGCCCTGGAACACGACCTTGAACGCCACCTCTTTTGGCCCTGCATGTCCCAGCGACCTCGAGACTTATATCAGCGAAGACTGCCTCAGCCTGAACATCTGGACCAATGCTGCATCAGCCGACGCCAAGCTTCCCGTCATGGTTTGGAACCAGGGTTCCGACGAGACCAGTGATAATGCTTGGTGGTATGGTGGCGGTATGGCCATGAAGGATGTTATCCTCATCTCCTTCAACCGCCGTGACGATGCCTTCGGCTACCTCGCCCTCCCCGAGCTCAACGCTGAGGGTCTTGCTGCCACCGGTCACAACACCTCTGGCAACTATGGTGTCCTGGATCAATTGGAGGTTCTCAAGTGGGTTCAGAAGAACATCGCCAACTTCGGTGGTGACCCTGACCGTGTCATCGTTGCTGGTCAGTCCTTCGGTTCTTCCCAGGTCTACCACGCCGTCAACAGCCCTCTCTTCTCCGGCTACTTCCACGGTGGTATCTCCGAGTCTGGTATCCGCTACCCCTACGACACCTTGCTTGCCGGGCTGGCCACTTCCTACGTCAACATGTCTGCCGCCCTTACCCATGGTACATCCTACATGAGCGAGCACAACGTCTCCACCGTCGCCGAGCTGCGTGAGCTCTCCATGGAGGACCTCCTCATCGGCTCTCAGGACCGTGTCAACAGCACCTGGATCTGGTGGGTTACTGCTCTCTCCACAGACTACCCCCTGATCTTCAAGCCTGTCCTGGACGACTACGTCCTTCCCTCCACCTACCTTGAGACCCTCATCAACGGCCCTGCCAACGACGTCCCCGTCATCACCGGTAACACCAAGGACGAGTCCGGCGCCGCTACCACCACTGACTACACCGTCCACGAATACCTCAACTACACTTCCCTGAAGTACGGCGACCTCTTCGACCGCTACATCAAGCTCTACCCCGCCGACAACAACCAGAGCACCGCCGACCGTTCCTGGAACGCCGCCGCCCGTGACACCTCTCTCATTGGCTCCTGGGCCTACGCCACCGACTGGTACAAGGCTGCCGAGTCCGACTTCTACACCTACTACTGGACCCACGCTCCCCCGGGCCAGGACCAGGGTGCCTTCCACCAGTCTGAGATCATGTACGCCCTGAATGCTCTCTATGCCAACGCCGATACCTACCCCTTCACCGATGTCGACTACGAGATTGGTGCGAAGATGTCCGCCTACTGGGCCAACTTCGCCAAGACCCTCAACCCTAACCAGGGTGGCTCGTACACTGGCAAGGGCAGCCTGCCTAACTGGGCCCCCAACAGCCCCAACGGCACCCAGATCGTCATGGAGCTGGGTAACTACTTCGGCAATGTTCCCATTGCTCACCCCGACCAGGTTAAGTTGATTATGGACTATTTCCACCAGCAAATTCCTTACTAGATGAGGATCATGGCGCGCTACAGCGTGCCGCTTGTATGCATCTTGTGGAGCAGTGCTCCCGTTTCAATGGACCAGACATAGCTAATATGTCTGGTCCGTCTGCTGTCACTAGACCTTGACATTCTATGCAGTATATTCGCTTCTTAGCTTATCAAACTCTTTGATAATATATTTTGTACATGTATCAAAACCTTTTTCTGCTACTTTCCATTCAAAGCTCCATGGTACATAGCATAACCGGCGTAGACTACCATAAGACCTCCATAACACATACATAATGAAGCACTCAAAGCACCCAAGTAAACTCATCATCTCCCAACTGCCCAAACAACTCATCCAACGATAACTGCTCCAGCTCATGCGCATGAACATCCGGCATGAACCTCTCACCGCCACCACCAACCCCGCCCACACCCCTCTGTTCCTGCCCTACCGACGGCTCATCCTCACTAAGCGGATGCATAAACTGCGTTGTTACGCGCATCCTAGCACCGGGAGCTGCCGGCCCGGACGATCCCAGCGTTTCCGTTGGACAGATTTTCGGATCGAGTAGATCCCAGAACAGCGATGGCTGGATAGTGATCGTCGTACCTCTCGTTATCGTTGCACCTTGATGCTCTGAAGATATAGACGGGTTCGTAGTCGCCACAGATGCCGACGCCTGAAGTGCATGGAGTGTCTTAAGCCTATGCGAGATGTGCGGCCAGACCGTTGACATTCGAGTTAATAATCTCTCTGCGACAACGAGATGTCCTCGTGCTTTTTCCCCGATTCCTCTGTCCCTGGCGAATTGGAAGATCCATGATATGGACGCAGTAGCTGCTACTAAATGGGCTATTAATGGGTCGTGGAGCGGTAGTTCGAAGTTCTCCCATGCTTGAACGAGTCGAAATACCCATTCGGAGTGAAATAAGGCGTGGTCGACTGTTTGTTGGAGGAAGAGGCGGGACTGGGAGACGCCGCGGTTCCCGCGTAATATGACGAGGTGGATGAAGGGGTGGTTCTGGATTGCGACGAGGGCGTGGCAGAAGACCTGCATTGAGATCCAGGAGGTCCAGTATTCCTGGTGGGTAAAGATCTCGGCGCGAGTGCGTTTAGTGAAGGCTACGTTGCGGAGGAGATGGGATTCTGGGAGTTGCGTTTCGTGTTCGTTGCGTCTGTGGTTGAGCTTTGAGTAGGTGGAACGTAGGGACCAGGGGGTTTCTTCGTTGAGATTAGGATTCGTGCGGATGCTGTGGAGGTAGGAGGCTGTTTCGCCCCAGATGATTATTAGTTGGATACCGTAGGCGACGATGCCATGGTCGTTAGTTGGGTCGGTGGTGTCGAAGAGGTCGGCTTGGGTAGGGGATGCGGAGGGGAGTGAGGGTGGGACGGGTGCGCTGGGCGGATAGGGATATTCGGGGGATATTTGGGTTTGTGGTGGAGATGGGATGGATAGTTGCGGTGTGAAAATGCTTTCTAGGATGCGTATGCTCCAGTGGCAACGGGATATTGTGAGGTCTCTTGTTTCTGATTGATTAGTGTTGTTGTGTTGTAGGGTTCGGAATGCTTGGAGTCGGGATGCCATTCCGATTCTCATGCAGGCTTGGGCTTGTTTGCCTTCTATTCGGGGATTAGAACAGGTCTTCAAGTCAATGCGAAAATGCGTACCTTTGATGTCCCGTAGGGCTAGCAAGCACAGCGACTGCAATACTTCCACTTGTGGTATGCCCTCGATGGCCATTTTCACAACTGCCTGTTCGGCGGACTGAGAATAGAATTTCCGAGCTTCTATCTCTCTGTCATGGTAGAATTCATGACCTGAAAACAGTAATATAAGCGTTAAGAAACTCCAAAGAAGAAAGTTTGGCGCTTTAGCCAGATCCGACTGGAGGGTGTCCATGCTGAACAGCGGTAGTGGCTGCAGATGTAGCACTTTTCGGTACACCTCTGTAAAGTGTTGCAATGTCTCCGTGGGTGGATGTGGACTTATTCAGTTAGCCAATATACCGATTTTTGGTGGCACTAGGACATTTACTTTGTTGGTGAGAAGGTAGGCATATCACTAGGACTTTCTCGCACGGGAACCTGCCAGTCCAGCTCTCTCTGCGAGGTACTATTGCTCTCAGGAGTTCCCGGTGATGGTTCGCCATTTCTGCTGGAGCGTGCGCTGACGATATGTCAGTCGACTGTACAGGGACATATATGTAGGGTAAAGAATATGCACACCATAGCGCTCCATACAGATCATTAACCTGTGACTCGAGTATCCGTAGCCGGTCTTGGGTAGCTCTTCTAATCTGATATTAGGATCAAGGTGTGTTGCGGCTGCAGGATGGCTCACAGACGCATACGCTTTTGTCACCCTTCCAGAAGTGACATTTGCTCGGTCCCTGAGTGAATAAACACATTGGTGATTTAATCTTTGGCAGGTTGAGCAAACCGGCCTCTCTCCAGGACATTTCGTTTTTCTGCGTCTGTCATAGAGTCAGCAAGTCTAGCCATTTCCTGATGAACAAGAGACCCTACCGACATGGCTCGCAGGCCTGTCGACTCCGTTCTCGGGGCTCAGACGATCGATCCATGCTATCGGTAAATTGACATTCCGCCATCTACTCCTGCCATTAGCCGGGGAAGTAGCCGATCCATCTCGGCGTCGGGGCAAATTCCGGGCTGAGTTTTGCCGACCACGTGAGCGGAAGTTTTGCTACGTGCTTAACTTTTCGGGACTAGTTCATTTCCGGCTAGTGGCGATCTCGCTTGGGTTTCCTTATGCTTGAATATTATTTTTTGACTTCGCTGGAGGAATGCAACTTGAGTGAATATGGCTCTAAAGGAACCTGTTCAAGTTCCGTCTTCCATCGCTAACTTCGAAACTTATGATTAAACAATCTCATATTTACAATCGTCACCATGCGAAGGCAATGACAAATTACAATTTAGCCTTCTCATAAGGAGTCAACTCCCGTCTCGCAGGCCCTGCGCGGCTCCCATCACCCAGGAAAGTATCGTCCTGGTTCTGGTATTCCATCCGGAATCGCCACTTCTGAGCGAGGTTCTCTGGCAGGTCCCGTTTGATCGCCCGCGACATGTATTCACCCAGGACAGGTAGGAATTTGAATCCACTGCGCATGGAACATTAGCATTCCACACAAACACGGATCTATACAAAAGGGAAGACTCACTGTCCACTGCCCGCACCTCCAATAAACAAGTTCTTGAGATCCGGGTGGTAGTCCATGATGAAATCACCGGTCGGGGTATCCGTATACCAGCAGAGAGCCAGCTTCTCAAAAGGCCGATCTGCTAGTTCGGGCAGAATCTCGCGCAGTCCTTCCCGGAGTCTATGCTCGCCATCCGCTGGGACAAAGTTGATACGCTCACGAGGCGGGATCAACGGGGGAGTCGAGATGTTACCCTTGGCGAGGGTGAGCTCTCCCTCCTTAGGGGTCCTGGTGTATCCCCACCCGTGAACAGCCATCTTCAGTAAGCTAGTGTCTTCATGAGGAGGGAAATTAAACCAGCCACTCGAGAAGTTGATGTAAATCGGAAGCTCTTCGTACTTCTTCACCTCCTCTGGCGTGAGACGCATGAATCCCAGAACCTGAGCAGTAGCAATGGTAGAATTGTACATAGGGACTAGGCTAGACCCCCATGCACCAGCTGCAAGAATAAAGTGGTCTCCCGACACGGGGCTTCCAATGAGGGTTCGTACGGCCTTAATATTCTTGTCGGAATCGGTGTCGAACCCAACAACCGTACCCCGCCGGCCGCAGATGAATGAAACGCCAGCTTCGAAGCAATCATCGCGAAGCTGGCTGATAGCCTTATTGGCATCTGCCCATCCTGCTTGGTTGTTTTGGTACCCAGAGAACGGTGGTGCAGCTAATTTTCCGCTGAGGACTGGGTGTAACCGCTTCGCGTGGTCCGCGTCGGTCACGTGAGTCCATGGAAGGTCATACCTGTTGAGAGCTGCTTTGGTCCTCTCCATCCATGAGTCTTTGACGGGACCCATGCTTCCTGTCAGAATGAAAGGTCTGGGGTAGAAGATGCCCCGGTACTTGGGCTCCTGCCATTTCAAATAGGCTGCGTGAGAAATACGCAAGTAATCGTCGTCGGCATAATCAAATCGAATTATACGAGAGATATCAGAGCTGGACCCATCTGAAACCTGGGCTAATTAGTTGAGGCAACATTCACTGCGCAGAACAGAACTTACTGGGGGCATATGTCGATCAAGGACCGTAATGTTCTTGTAGCCCTCGGTGGCGAGCTGGTAAGCAGTGGTGAGGCCAAATACGCCTGCACCGATAATCACAACATGGCTATCTTTATCCATAGCTACTGATATACTTCAGGGAGTGATGGGATGCTTTGAAGGTGAATGTTCTTGGTGGAGCAATGGTTGTTCGATTGAAGCTTTCATGATTCCCTAAATAACTATGAGCGGAGGCCCAAAATGTCCTCCGATCCGCTCACGTGGTCGGAAGTCGGACTTGCCTGGATCAGCATCTGGCTTAGAACAACGAGTATTGTCTAATTCGTAGCGTGGCGGTCTATCTCTATGCTCGATTATGGACGTGGCGTTGTACCATCTCCACACTGCAATCGTGGTGCAGCCATCTTGGTCTACTAACTAGAAAACTGAAAGATTCCATGGCTTCCGTTGCCGGGAATGAACGCTTATTGAGTTTGCCACTATTGTCAGTGGCTTCATTAGCCGCTTGATGTCAGCTGGTTATTCGAATGTTCCTTGATCATGAAATAATCAGCAAGGGAAATGCGATGGTTGTTTATTGTAATTCATTCCTTGCTTCCTGATGTACGAAGCGAATGCGGATGCGGGGGGAAAAATGCCAAAAAGAAGAATGTCCCTCGACCCGGAATCGAACCAGGGATTTTCCGGTTACAATTAACCATTACAGCCGGACGCCATAACCAACTAGACCATCAAGGGTTATCTGTTAAGACTGCCTCTTGCTCTAGTTAATATACCACCAAACTCAGCCAAAATTGATCCCATTCTGTTAGCAATCATGACCACTTCTGCTCAGAGTAATTGGGATATATCCTGCCCAAAATTAGTCTAACATCGTTTGGTTGGTGCTTCTGAGATTCTTTAGCCTCTCTATCCCTTCAGTAAGTTATTGTTACGTTCATTTTTCTGCTTTTGACTCGCTCCCTGTTCCTAATAAATTACGCCTCAATCGTATGAGGTGAATATATATTGTGTCGGCTCACATTTCCATGCCAGTGAGATAGCGATTGTGAAAACAAGCGGTATAGACGATGAGCCCGTCAATCACAGGCACCAAAAGAGCCAGTAACCACTCAAATACCGAGATGGCGTTTATTGTATCAGATAAGGGTCTCCGAGGCATATTGGGTGACACCAAATTACTAACTGCCTTAGGCATCAGCACGAACATGTGCTGGGGTCGGTAAATAATCTTGAAATGATGGGTTGGGATGACCCTGATCATTATGTAGGCCATTCAGCTCCACCAAAGGAAAGCACAACATTTAGAAAGATCGCACCTAGCAATCGTAACAATCATCTGCAGCCCCGTTGGTGGGCAAGCGCTCTATCGGTCCATCCCAGAAATGGCATCATGTGACCACTGTCATGAACACACCTCTTCCTTTCCACTAACATGGCGACTCATTCATCCCGCGCTTCATAATCTTGGCAAAACTCCTGAATGGAGCTATACTCCAGTTTTTGCGACATGAATACTCCCCAAGTAAACGACCATAATGCGATCTTCTCCCTAGCGCTTCACCCACTCGCAATCGGTGAAATAAACGAGGAGCAACAACCTCCCTAGGTGATATCCAGGGTGCAATCCATTTTGACAGATGCTGGGATACACTTTTGCTTTGTTTAAGAACAAGCGCTAGTATTTTATGGAACAGCATACCTTGGCTCAGCCTCCATAATCCTCCAAATGTCTCGCCATTTCCTGTGTGCTAAGGCCATGTCAACGCCCCGAGTGACTCGGGTGCTGCGCAAGAAGAGACGACCGCAAGCTCACCCATCAGCCCATAAATAAACCCGGCTCCTTCCAACAAGCCAGCCATGAAAAGGGCAGCAGATGTGAGGTTGGCGAAGGAAACAATAGGGTGCTTTTTCCTCTCCTTGTCGAAGTCATAACTAACGAGGTCATATGTTGAGGCCATGTCGTACTCAGAAGCTTTGCTTCCACTGAAGGCTATCAAGAGACACCCGCGAGTGAAAGAGCTTCTTAGAAGGTAGAAATCTAGAGAGAATAGGAAGACTCCTATGAGCCCACCAGTTATAAACATCAATCAGTTATTCAGCAATCAACAAAATCTCTATTCACTGAGGATGCACTATGGTACCATAACTGGCCAGTAACACTGAAGGCATGCATGCACCGAGGTACGCCGTTCCGTTTCTCTGACTCTAACAAGCTAGGGCAAGTTTAACATTGATACTCCCAAGCAAGTCCAGGGGGCATAATTGGTCGAGATCAACCAGAGATCTCCAGAGTACAACCAAAGGATCTGGAATGAAGCATAAATCATGTACATACTTTATGCTCATGTAGAGTCAAGAGTGTTCCCGACAGAATGGGAAGTCGATTCAGAAAATTGTGCTCTCCAATGGCCTGCCATCAATGAGTTGGTGTGCTGGTCTCTACCCGGACAAATCCCTCACAATGAACAGATACCTGCTTTACCATTGTGATCTCGCTGCTGGTCTGATTGATATAGTATCGCCATGATCATCGGAATACCCTGAGGTAAAGGGAATTGGCCGTCTAATTTTAACAAAGTTGCAAGATTTGGATAAATTGAACCATGAGCTTCGATCATAATTTCACCGACCAGTACATGGCTATCACAATCGAGATAGGACTCAGGTGCACAAACAAACTTGAATACTTGATATGAACTGTAAGGCATAAGTAATATTCCAATTTGGGGAACACTAGCTGAAATGACCATAGAATATAGTAAAAGAGC